AGAATCTTTTATTGATGAGATCTCGATCTATAATTACTCCTACGCTGAATTCTTAGATCTTTTTAAAAAGACCTTTTCCTCTTCTCTTAGCGAGGAGGAGGCCGGCAAAAGATTGTGGGAGCTGAAGCAGGGAAACCTTTCGGTTGCTGACTTCAGCATCAACTTCCGCACTCTGGCCGCTCAGGCTGCGTGGGACAGCCGCGCATTAAAGACGGCTTTCCTCAACTCTCTCTCGATAGCCTGGAGGGGCTAGCTGATCTAGCCGTTCGGGTAGACAAACGCCTCCGTGAGAGGACTTGTGAGAGGCGGGGCCAGGACAGCTCTCCTGCTCAACGTTCCAGTCTTCCGGTTCCTGTGGTGTCAGATCAATCACAGCCGTCTGTCTCTGCTAGTCAGCCTATTGATCAGCCCATGCAAATTGGCAGAGCCCGGTTATCTACCAAAAAAAAGAACAGCGATTCAGAAATAGAAGGTGCCTTTACTGTGGTGCTGCTGGTCATCTCTGTTTGTCTTATCCCCTTCGCTCAAAAGACCTGGCCCACCAGTAGTTCAGGGAATACTGGTGGGCACATGTTCCGAGACTCCCAGTTCTAGGTTCCTGCTACAGGCTGCAATTTGCCTGCAGGAAAAGCAGCACCCAGTTTCCGCCTTGGTTGACTCCGGTTCCGAACAAAATCTCATCGATCCAGCCTTAGTTAAACATTATAATATTCCGGTCCGTACTTTACCATCCCCTGTTTCCGTCACAGTCCTTGATGGTAGTCCACTAGCAACTATAACTCAGCAGACTCTCCCTTTTCAGTTTATCTCCTCTGGTAATCATCATGAATCCATTTCTTTTTTCGTTTTTTCTACAAGACACTCACCTATAGTTTTAGGTGAGTGTCTTTTTATATACAGTCCTTGGTTAGCTGCCTTGGTTAGCTGCTCACAACCCTCTCATTAACTGGAGAGACTCGCATATTGAGACCTGGAGCTCCGGTTGTCTGGCTACTTGTCTCCAATCTGCACTCCCTCACACCTCAGCTATTTCTGTACTTCCTGACGTTCCTTCTGATCTATCTAATGTGCCGCCCGAGTACCATGACCTCCACCTAGTTTTTAGCAAAGATCTGGCTCTTGGCCTTTCGCCGCATCACCCTTATGATTGTGCTATTGATCTTCTTCCTGGGGCTCCTCTGCCTTCTGCTCGCCTCTACAAATTATCGCAGTCAGAGCTAGGTGCTATGGAGAAATATATTAATGATTCGTTAAAGGCCGACATCATTCGGCCTTCATCCTCACCCCTAGGGGCAGGTTTCTTCTTCGTTGCTAAAAAGGATAAAACATTGCGTCCTTGCATCGATTACGTGGTCTTAATCAGATTTCTGTTAAGAATAAGCATTCTCTTCCCCTCCTGGCATCAGCCTTTGATACGGTTCGGGGCGCCACCATCTTTACTAAACTGGACCTTCGAAACGCCTATCACTTGGTCCGGATTCAAGAGGGAGACGAATGGAAGACGGCGTTCAAGACCCCCATCAGCCACTACGAGTACTTGGTCATGCCCTTCGGCCTCACTAATGCCCCAGCCATTTTCCAGGCCCTCGTAAATGATGTCCTGAGAGACTTTATCAACCAGTTTGTGTTTGTGTACATTGATGACATCCTTATTTATTCTCAGAACCCCCAACAGCATCAGCAACATGTCCGCCAGGTCCTTCAACGTCTTCTGGAGAAGCGCCTCTTCATTAAGGCTGAGAAGTGCGAGTTTCACCAAAGAACCATCAGCTTCCTAGGCTTCATTTTCGAGGGTGGACAGGTGAAGACGGACCCTGGAAAGGTAAAGGCAGTCGTTAACTGGCCCGTTCCCAACACCCGTAAGCAACTCCAGTTCTTCTTGGGTTTTGCCAACTTTTACCGGGTATTCATCAAGAATTAAGGTATTCTTGCCTCAGCTCTCACTGCTCTGACCTCCACCAAGAATGTCTTCCAGTGGTCCTCTGAAGCTGATCAGGCGTTCCGCCTCTTAAAGGAGAGGTTTTCACAGGCTCCCATCCTCACCTACCCTGAACTGTCAGCTCAGTTCACATTGGAGGTGGATGCCTCTGACTCTGGAGCTGGAGCTGTTTTATCTCAGATGTCGCCTTCGGATGGCAAACTTCATCCCTGTGCGTTCTTTTCCAGACGCTTCTCTCCTGCTGAGAGAAACTACGACGTGGGAGATCGAGAACTACTGGCCATCAAGATGGCTCTGGAGGAGTGGCGTCATTGGCTGGAGGGAACTGAATTGCCCATAGTAATCTGGACTGATCCCAAGAACCTTTCCTATATCCAGTCAGCCAAACGTTTAAATTCTCGTTAGTCGTTAGTCCCTGTTCTTCTCTTGGTTCAACTTCATCATTACCTACCGCCCTGGATCCAAGAACACTAAGCCCGATGCTCTGTCCCGCCTGTTTTCCACCTCTGAAGAGGCTGAGGTACCAGGTCCCATCGTCCTTGAATTTTGTGTGGTTGGAGCCATCACCTGGGATCTTGAGAACAGAATTAAAAAAGCCCAAGAAGGTGAACCATATCCAGGTGGTGGTCCTCCCCAGAGACTCTATGTTCCTTCTGCTGTTCGCTCTCAGGTTATTCGCTGGGGGCACTCATCTAGATTCTCTGGTCATCCTGGTTCCGGTCGCACCATCGCCTTAATCCGGCGATATTTTTGGTGGCCATTTCTTAATAGAGATGTTGCGGAGTTTGTGTCAGCATGCTCTGTGTGTGCCAAAAACAAGGGTTCCAGTTGACCTCCTGCCGGTTTGCTCCAACCCCGACCCAGACCCAGCCAACCCTGGTCCCACATAGCATTAGACTTTGTTACTGGCCTTCCCCCATCTAACCGCAAGACAGTTATCCTTTCAGTTATCGATCGTTTCTCTAAAGCCTGTCACCTGGTGGCCTTGTCCAAGCTCCCTTCTGCTCATCAGACTGCCCGGTTGTTGTTTAACCATGTCTTTAAACTCCACGGGTTGCCATCAGAAATAGTCTCAGCCCGCGTGACTTCTGTGGGTGTTTTGGGGCTAAAGCCTCCCTCACGTCTGGGTTTCACCCCCAGTCTAACGGGCAGTGTGAGCGGCTTAATCAGGAACTGGAAAACACCCTCCGCTGTCTCTGCTCTCACAACCCCAGCACCTGGAGCCAACATCTGGCCTGGGTGGAATACTCGCATAACTCCCATGTTTCCGCGGCTACCGGTTTATCCCCATTCGAGGCATCTCTTGGCTACCAGCCTTCTCTCTTACTTTCAACCTTCCCTGACTCAGTCTTACCTTCGCCACCTTCGCCGTTGTCGTAGGGTCTGGGACCAGACGCGGGCAGCCCTTGAACGTGCCTCTTGCCGGGATAAGAGCTTTGCTGACCGCAAACGCATCCCTGCCCCCGCTTACACCTCTGGGCAGGAGGTTTGGCTCTTTCCCAAGGACTTTCCCTTAAAAGCCATGTCCAGGAAGTTAGCTCTCAGGTTTCTCTGTCCTTTTAAAATCGACCAGATTATTAGTCCCACAGCTGTCCGCCTTAAGCTTCCTCCGCACCTCCCTGTCCATCCTACGTTCCATGTCTCTCAGATCAAGCCTGTCATCTCCAGTCGGTGGGTCCCTCCGACCAGACCCCCTCCTCCCACCCGAGTGGTTGATGGTCACCCGGCTTTCACGGTCCGCAAGATCGTGGCCTCCAGGTGTCGTGGCCGCGGATACCAGTACCTTGTGGATTGGGAGGGTTATGGTCCCAAGGAACGGTCCTGGGTTCCTCGTTCTTTTATTCTGGATCCTGATTTGATCTCTGCCTTTGAGGCTTCCTCCTCCGGGCGGCCGCAGGATGGACGGGCAGGTGCACTACATCTGAGCTGATCACCACCCTTCTTAAGGAGCTGGAACCAGGAGGAGGGCGTCAGCTCGTTAACACCACTGCGTTGGTACAGACCTAACACAAACCTAGTCCTTGTGATTCTCAAAACCCTTGTCTAAATCCAGCTCTGAACCTTTTCCTGCAGAACCCATGTTTCTGACCCCTGGACCCAGCCACGAACCATAGACCTTGGACCCCCCGCCTGAAAACAACCAGGAACCCGAGAGGGATCTGGTGTGATCCACCACTCAGCCCTCCTACATGCGATCACCTGCCTGTCCACCCTCGAACCACCAACCAGGGAAAGATTACTGGTCAGCACTCAGACCAACAGGGACACTTCCCCCCAAGATCGGACCACAGCCTCTCTACAGTGAGTGTCAGTCCACCATAATCCTCCAGCAACCGTTTCCTCACATTCACCAGTCTCATCTTTTCTGCAGAAGCCCAGAGGAACCTGACAAGACCATACAGCTTCCAGTTCACATCCACTATCTTGTTTTTTTCAATAAATCTCTTACACCTTCTCCTGCCTCTGTAGTTGCTCTCGTCCAGAGTCACCTTCAATTATGACAATGTGCGCCATCCAATGCAGATAATTAACACCATCCACATTTAGTGAAAACTAGTTTAATTGGATGAGTCGTATAACGCAAACACTCATTGGTTAACTATTCATCAAATTTAAACTTTTATTTACCAGCCTCAGGCCTATAGGTTCCCCTGGACTTCCATATTTTCCCAAAGACTTCATTCTAAATGCAAAGACCTGGAGAAAACCGATCTTTTAGTCAAATTCTGAGTTTTCTACTTCATATTAGGACTTGTTGTGGAGAATAGTGGGATTTACATCCTACATCTACTAACTATGTGACGATTGAGTCAAAATCTGAAACTCGTTCCCCCTGCGACACAAAGTTAGTCAAATTACGCTAAACAGTTATGTTTTAATGACATCACAGGTATCCCAGACAAACCCCTCTGTGTGTTTGGACTGTGGCTAAAGACCAGTGATCCAATCAGAAGAAGCTCTGTTGATATGATATATCCCGGCACTTGCTTAAATTCAGATATAATCCTTAACTTTTAGATGGAGGATCACAACTCATTTTCTTCTCCTTCCTAGAAGAAGCAGTACTCACAACTTAACTTGCTTGGTTCCACACAGTTTGCTTTTTTTAAATCTATGATTTTTACCTGCCTTTGGCCTACTACTGCTGGGTAATGAATTATAAGCTTAAGATCTATATCTGTAAGACCCTTGTGCCATACAATGTGGACGTAAATGTTAGAACCCAGACCTACTAATAACTACTTGAGTTAAGCAGTTGTGTTTACTTAGTTTCATTAAATGATTTTTGGAGTTAAACTAACTTTTAATTGTTGTTTATTAAGTTTATTAGTCTGATTACTACACCCAAACTTAGATTTGCAATTTTTCCCACAACTTTGCCTATGCTGAAAGAAAACATATGTGCTTTAATGCTTCTATGAGTGTTCTTAATAGATATGTATTTTAAATCTGTGATAAATTGAACAATTATTTAATATAAATATACTTTTATAACCTGAACTAGAACATTCTATATGTCCCTACTTTGTCATTGATATTATCTGCCTGCTGATCTCTGCTTATTTGGCTGCCTAAATGGATGAGGGTTTTAATGTAACTTATATAATTCTTGGTGGACACATGGAAGTGAAAAAATACAGATATCTTTATTTTGTTATTATTCTTACTGTATATGTTCTTATATTAAGCTGTAACTCCACTATAGTGTGTCTGATTTGGACTCACCGGAACCTCCATGAGCCTATGTACATCTTTATCGGGGCTTTGTTAATCAACTCTGTTCTTTGGAGTACTGTTATCTACCCTAAACTTTTGATTGATTTTCTGTCTGAAGAGCAGACCATATCATACTCAGCTTGTGTTTTACAGTTTCATATGTTTTACTCTTTGGGTGCGTCAGAGTACTATCTTTTGGCAGCTATGGCCTATGACAGGTATGTTTCTATATGTAAACCTCTACAATATCCAACTATTATGAGTAAATCTACTATCAGTACTCTTCTGATTTTAGCTTGGACTCTGCCGGCCTCTCAGGTTGCAATACCAGCTGGACTGAGTGCTAATACACAACTCTGCAGTTTTACCATAAGGAACATCTTTTGTAATAATACAATTTACAAACTGCAGTGCATCATCACAAAAGCACAAATGATACGTTATATGTTGATTTTAGTCACTCTTTTAATCATGCCTGCTTTTTTCATACTATTCACTTACACACGTATCCTTAGAATATCATTTCGAAGTAGCAGAGAACTGAGAAAAAAAGCAGCACAGACATGCTTACCTCACTTAATTGTTTTGACCAACTTTTCCTGTTTGTGTGTATTTGATGTTATTACAGTTCGGCTGGATTCAGATTTTCCAAAGACTTTAAAGCTAATAATGACTTTACAGTTAATAATCTATAATCCCCTGTTCAATCCAATCATATATGGACTGAAAATGAAGGAAATTTCTAAACATCTCAAACGATTGGTCACTCAGGCCAAACAATGCATTCCTTCTAGACAGTAATGTTGTGATCTACATTGATTTACTACTAAGGGAAAGTTTATTTATCTCTTTTTCCAGTCAAGTGTTTTGATTATCTTTTTAAAATTAAGATCCAAATAAAACAAATTATTTCTTTTTTTACTATCACATATTGAATATTTATCATTGCTTGTTATCTTTTGTCCTGACATTTATGGAAATTGTTTAATGCAAAAAAAATAAGCGGTTGTAAAATTTAGAGTTTTTGAGAAGTTATAAAGAAACTGAAGCTATTATCTAATCATCACATGATATTTATTGCTTATTTAAATGCACCTTTTTATATTAATAGCTAAAAATATGTATTCATATGTATATGAATTGTCAGGGTTCCTGTGTGTGGGATTGTGCGAGTTGTGCATCTCTATTATCGAAGACCTTTGTAGAGAACTTGGGTAGCCTACACAGGTGAAAGTAATCTTTATAATAGTGCTGGGCTATTAATCAGATATTATTTCGGCTGTTATATATTGTTTATGACACACAGTCCTACTAACTATGTGTTAGAACAATAGATAAAAGAGTGATTCGAGCACTAATCATGGTCAAACAGATAATTCTGCACATACATGGAATAAATTCACCACAAATTCAGATAAAAATATAAGAGTTTATAAACAAAAATCATTCAGCTCCAAGTCAAACATACTTCAGTTGAAAAGTCTTAACTAAACTATTAAAACTCAACTAACTTAAACTACTATGTACAAAGAGGAAGGGGAAACATGGTTGAAAACCATATTACAGTTTAAGATGGATTGTGTGTTTGAAAACCAAAGGTTATCTGTAAGAATTTGGTATATAATAAAATTAGCTTTTCACTAATTTAGAGAAATTATAATGTTCTCAGACCAATTCACAATGCAAATCCATGAGGTGAATAAAACAATATTTGGCCAAGTAATGTTTTATTAAATGATTTGCTTCATCAGGAACCAGTAACCTTTAGTTAAACAATCCTTTAACCTCTTTGAAATAGCGAGCAGCGAATAGACATGAGGATTTCATTAAATTACTTTTGGTCATACTTGGTAATGGAAATGTAAATGCAATGAGCATATGGACTTACAGCTGTTTATGAGTCAAAATTGCATCCTGTTCTCTGGTCATCATGTCAAGATAAAATATGGGCACTGGTTCCCAATGTCCAAAACCACGATCATGGCACATGGCACAACAAAAATAAAATACGACTGTAGATCTGCAGTGCTACCAAATACTTTAACCCATGTAGAGGCTTATTTATTTTAAACAAATTTGTGACACAGATGCCGAGGTGGGGAGTAGAAGCCACACTACATAATGATTTTGCACAGATATTGAATTTCTATTCATTTTAAACATACATCATAGTACAGGCTTATCACAAGCATTTAAACCTGCAGTGTTATTTATGCTTGCACTGATTAGCCATCACTATACATAAATAAACGACTATCCTTTTTACATTACCTATTACATTACCTATTGCCTAGAAGGTTAAATGTAATTCAGCATAATATAGAGGAATATTATAGTGATGAAACTACTGGATATTGTACAACTTTGATTTAAGACAGAAGTCAAAAACTCAAATTCTCCAAGGCCGCTGTCCCACTAACCACAGACTTTGATTGGAAATAAGATGCTTTGACGTCTAAAATGCATTCAGTGTCGCACCATAACATTAAATAATTTTCAGGTGTGCAGACCTTAAGGCTAGCAGGCACCTCACTTGATAAGAAAATCTTTCCCACAAGCTAGGATATGACACTCATGAGAAGTCCCAAAGTTAATAATGACAACCATATATCACTCCCCAAGCTTAATGACCAAAGCTTCTCTATTGAACCTCAAATGCTTGAGGTTCTTGTTGACATTTTGCTAATCTGTGATGTTTATAGGCATTTGGATTTTTAAAGTGCAGCTACTTAAACTTGTGCCAGCCTCTCTGAAAAAAAGATATCAAAAGGAAAAAACAAAACAAAAGCAGCTGTTAAAGTTGACTTCATTCTTTTGAAGTTCTGCAGACGACGGATCAGATTGTCCATGACCATGCTAATAGCTTAGCCGCTGAGCTAACCCGCTCATGCTAGCAGGCTAACACATGCTGCAGTGAGTCACTAATCAGGTGGATCTACCTGAGCTACCTGAGCTATGGCTACAACGCTGGGCTGCTGCGGCGACAACACCTGACCTGCGGCTACAACACCTGTGGTGGATCTACTGAGCTACGGCTACAACGCTGGGCTGCTGTTGCTAAGAGAACACCTAGCGGCTGAAACAACACTGGGTTCCCACTACAACATCTGACGGGCGGCTACAACGCTGGGCGGCTGGGCAGCATCAACTTGTTCAGATCAAACGGAAATGTCGAAAAGAGGTACGAAGCAAAGCCGATCTATGACAGAGGAAGAGTTTGAGGAGATAAAGAAATCCTCGGATTTTATGTCTGATGAGATAGCAAAAATCTCACAACCACAAAAACTTATAATGAACTTAATGGGGGAGGTTAAAGAATTGAAGAGACAGAATGTAGAGAAAGACAAGCAAATAGCCTTCCTGGAACATCGTGTGGCTGACTTGGAACAATACAGTCGAATGAACGATGTAATAATTACTGGGTTGGAAATTAAGTCTAGGTCATATGCCCGGGCCCTGACAGAGGAAAACAATACTGAAGAAAGGGACGAAGAGCAAGGAACTTTTGAAAAACAGGTAATTTCATTCTTCAGTAACAAGGGAATCAGCATTGATAATAATGACATTGAAGCTTGCCATCCACTTCCGCAAAAAAACAAAGGAGTTAAACCTGTTATTGTAATGAGGTTTAAAAACAGGAAACACAAAAATGAACTCCTAAAACAAGGGAGAAAATTAAAATGAGCATCTTACCAAAATTAACGCAGATATAACAAGGCGAGCACGTTTTCTCAGGAAACAAAAGAAAATACAGTCAAAATGGACCTCAAACTGCAGGGTTTATATCAAATTAAACGGGTCACCAGAGGAAGCCAAGGTACTGATCATTAGACAAATTGAAGAGTTGGATAAAACAGGACAACCAGGCAACTTCTGATCAACTTTCTGAAATCCAGTAATAAAATGTAAATTTACACATGAATATAGACACAGATATTGACCCAGACAACAATTTCCTTGATTATTTGACTGACAATTGTCATTACTACACTGATGATAACTATAGCCAATGCTTTAATTCAGATCAAGAAATGTCAATTATTCACTTCAATAGCCATAGCCTTTATGCTAATTATGAAAATATCAACTAAAAAAGTCATTCAGCGTCATAGCAATAACAGAAACCTTGCTCACCTCTGAGAGGGGAGCAGACTTCCCACTTGAAGGGTATGAGTTTAATTATATAAACTGAAAGAATAAAAAAGGTGGCGGTGTAGCGTTGTACATAAAAAATGAACTCAATTATAAGGTGGTTAAAAAACTGTCAGTGTCAGTTGATGAAGTGATGGAATGCATTACTATTGAAATCCAGTTTGAGAAGCAGAAAAATATAATAGTCAGCTGTGTGTATAGAGCACCAGCATCTGACACTGAAGTCTTTACAAATTACATGGAAACATTGTTTGCTAAGATAAATCAAAAGATAATTTTCATCTGTGGAGACTTTAATATTGATATGTTGGATCCAAATAAGGTTAGAAGTACATCTAACTTTATCGACACTATGCATAGTTTAGGTTTATATCCATTAATTACTAAACCAAGCAGAATAACAACTCACAGTTCAACCCTGATTGACAATATATTTACTAATTACATGGAAAGTAAATTGAGAAGTGGACTTCTTGTAAATGACATCAGTGACCATCTTCCAGTGTTTGTTATCCTAAAAGAGGTTTGCAGAAAAATAGATAAGGGTACCAACATCACTTACAAAAGAATAATATCAGAAGACTTAATAAGAGCATTAAGAAACGATTTACAATCACAGAACTGGAAAGTGCTGTATGAAGAAAAAAATATTGATAAGGCTTTTGAGATATTTATCAAAATATTTAAAGCATTTTATAATAAAAACTGTCCAACTGTACCTTGTAACTACAGGCAAAAAAACAAATATAAGCCATGGATTACTAAAGGATTACAAAATGCATGTTTCATGATGGGTTAACAGAGAGGCCCAAGATGCAGAACACTGACGACTCAGAGGGAAAATTTTAACAAGTTTATTGTTGCACAAGCATGAATTAAATGAACAGTTGAACTGGTTCTGGTCTGGGACTGGTTCACTGGAGTCTGTGAGAGAGACAGTTCTGTTAGCGAAGGCTTGGTTGGGATTGATCTTGATTGAGTTCAGGCTTGTACCTTGAAGTGCGTAGAAGAGGCTTTGGGAGCGGAACTGTTGGGTCCGGAGATGATTTGTTTCTGCAGAGTCCGTAAGCTGTTTCAGCATCTTACTTCTAGAGACGAGTTTGACCTTGGCTTGAGTTTCCAGCTCAGTATCCAGGGCTGCTTGGAAATCCAGAGAGTAAGTCTTCAGGTTTGGCTCGGAGGGCAGGCTCGGCTGGTTAAGCTCTTCCAGAGCTTCACAGGAGAAAAGCAGGTAACCTGGAAGCAGAGACAAAAAGGGTTAGAACCCAAACAGGACTCAGGAGTAACAAGGTTCTCAGAGGATCTATGGCTTAGGTGCTAACCAACTGATTAAGACACTGCGGCGTCGAGGCAAGGTCTGAAGACAGCTTATGTAGTCTGGTCCTCCAGATGAGATGATCAGAAGCAGGTGCGTCGAAAGCTCAGCTGAGAGGAACCAGGGCGGACTCTGCTGGAGAAAGTTGGCATTTCTCCAGCTCCCAACAGTACCCCCCCCTCAACGACCGCCTCTTGGCGGTGCGGAGGAAGTTGATGGGAGGGAGCGCTCATACTCCTCGATAAGAGAAGGATCGAGGATGTAGGAACCAGGAACCCGCTGTCGGACCGTAGCCCTCCCAGTCGACGAGGTATTGCCAGCCGCGACCTCGCCG